TCTCTCTCTCTCTCTCTCTCTCTCTCTCTCTCTCTCTCTCTCTCTCTGCATTGTTGGTACAATGCTCAAGGACATGTTTCTACTTCCAAGTATTGTTCTCTCTGTTTGACAGTTTCAGCTCAATGGATACACCAGGCCAGGCTCAGCTGTGTCTCAATCACACTACAGCTGTATCACTGCTGTGTGAGCTCGTGCATGCGGTTACCTGTTAAACATCGGGACCACAATCCCCTTCTTTTGTCTCATTTGCTCTTTTTTTTTTTTTTTTTTTTTTTTTTTCTCTCCAGCGGCTATTTGTTTTCTGCCAGCGAGGTTTGTCATCGCTTAGCGGGCGATTTGAGTCATTCATGTTTTTGGGAATGAACCAGTCACGAAAAATATTATTCCCGGCCTCACGGGTTGACGCGATGAAACGGCTGATCCCCGTAATGATGGCTTTGTGCCCTGTTTCGTTATGCTGCTTAGCCATGTCTCCCACGGCTCCCCCCCCCCCCCCCCCCCGCTGTGTAATTACATCTATGTATAGGCCTGCGGGTATGCTATATTTGGGGCAACACATAACCGCCACAGTGTATTTTCTATTCCTAGAAGTGAAGCGAGCCCGACTGTACGCTGAAGAAACACATGCCTCACCTACAAACTGTCTCATTTCGAAACTGTTTTCCAGCGGCCTCCGCCCCTCTCACTTATCACAACTGCCCGACATGACGGAATCACCTTTTCCACCAACAATGTTCCACATTCGGAGATGTGAGCCAGAAACGCAAGGCGTTAATCTTTCCCTTCCTTTTCCAATTAATACTGAGGCCTGTGAGTCTTGCGTGGCATTGTTTACGTATTGCCCCCGACAGCATCGAGTGGACCTGCACAGCCAACCATAACAGCACAGGGAGGAGGGGGGTATTACAGCCCAACAGGATGGTCATAAAATCAAAATGGCTCCCACTGCCAACATCTGTGTGCCAAGGAAAATACACAACTTTGTAGAATAGGGGGAGGGAGACTCCCGTAACATCAGGGATCACGGCCTACACTGTGTACAGTAAATCAACAGGAGAGACTACAGGGATTTGGAGCAGGCAGTGATTTTTGACATCCCATGATCCCTTAGAGGTCTTGATTATAGGTGTCGGGCCGTACTAAGCACACGTTGCCAAACGGATGAATGCAGGTAAACAGCCATTTAGCAGCTTTTGGCTCACCGAGGTCTGAGAACAGATGATGGCAGACAACGGACTCATGTTCACGTGAAGATCAGATATTGTTTCTGGATATTTAATTGTAGTTTGCGTTCATTAAATATATGTTTTTCTTGGTTGTTCATTTTGCTTTTTGTTTAGTGATCTACCAGTTCAATTTTTTTTCCTGTTTTCTCGTGTGACTGGATTTGTTGTTTGTTGTTTGTTGTTGTTTCTTTTTTTTTGTTTCTTTTCTTTTTTTTCCTGCCATTGTGTCACTTGTGTTTATTTTCCCACTGAGTGCAGAGTTTCCCAAAAGTCTTCACGCACATGCCCCACGAGAGCGATGTTTACCTAGCGCGCTGAACGGATCTGTAAATCGTGTGCGTTTTTAAGGGGAACACTGGAGGGAGAGGCTCCGGTCCTGAGTCACGCTCTCCTCCCGAGTCCTGCGAAGCCCTGTTTGTTTTTGGATCTGCTGCACAACAATGAGCGAGTCTCCCTGCACACACACACACACTATCATGGGATGTACAGAGCTCACTGAGAAAACAAGCAGCAGCCATAACAAGGGGCTCAAACAGGAGCTGAGCTCTGTAGGAAAACCTGCGCTCACTTCCCAGGCTCCTGGCTGACTGACCACTGTCCTGTTACACTTCAGTACATGAAAGTCCCCCCCCACAAAAAAACAAACAAACAAATCCACACTTGGCTCCCTTACACAAGACTATATTGTGGATTTAAATGTTCTGCTCTCGGGAGGGGACAAAAGAATAAAATGCAGCTTTGATGTTTAGAATAATAAATACTGACATCTGTCCCAGAGGTAGCGGGGAAGAAAGCTCCTATTGTTTCAACTTGTTTCTCCACCGGTCGGCCCTGTGAATAAAGCAGGGTGAGAACCTTCTGACTCCGAAACACACACACACACACACACACACACACGCACAGGCCGTTATTATTTTTTCACCTGTCTACCCTTTTTGTCTCACCCCCTCTTGTCCTCCACGGGGGGGCTGTAATTAAATGTGTTGCTGCAACAACTGGCACTCGCTCGCACCCACCTATTAGTCTATAGGGTGCTCTTACTTTCTGTTGGGTCAGAGCGCCAGCTGTTATTTTGTCCATATGACTCACAGTTTACACTTTTATAACGCACATGTTTTATATATAGATATACTTTAGTGTCACGGGGGAATTAGCTGTAGCTTTAAGTGGTTTTAGGTCACGGTTATATTGTCAAAGTTGTATTAAAGTTAAGAATAACTGCAGTACAATTACAAGAACATAACATAAGCATAGTATGGATAAAGTTAGTATACGATATACATTATAAGCATCTACTACACTAAAAATGAAGTGTGTAAAAGATATTTCCAAGGAAAGGGGTCCTTGGTGGTTTTGACAGTGATGTTTGACTGGTTTTTGAATGAAGGGGCTTTCTCGATTGCTTTCCGGTCCGTTCATCATCGAGATTGTTCATAGAAAGTCGAACTGACCCTCTGCAGGTTCCAGCAGTGTTTTTTTTCCCGTGCAGCGGTACACCTCGGGAGTTCGCGATGAGGTCACTACCGCTGCCAACTCACACCGTGTTTTTCCTCCTGTTCCCACCTCTCAGATCCTGGACGAGATCGCAGAGCACGGGATCCGGATCTACCAGCTGCCCGACGCCGACTCCGATGAGGACGAGGAGTTCAAGGAGCAGACCCGTGTCCTGAAGGTGAGAGAGAGAGAGAGAGAGAGAGAGGCTCAGCTGATGCTGGAAGACACAGAGCTACGTCAGACGCTTCCCTCTGCTGGTTTAGTGATTCGTCCTTGCGTCCTACCCCTTCTCTCCGATACCTTTATTTTCCACATCCCCTCCTCAGACTTTGTATCTTTTTGGGGATCCTCTGACCTTTTATCTCCCTCTCCCAGGCGAGCATTCCCTTTGCTGTGATTGGCTCCAACCAGCTGATCGAGGTGAAGGGGAAGAAGATCCGCGGTCGTCTCTACCCCTGGGGAGTCGTCGAGGTGGAGAACCCCGACCACAATGACTTCCTCAAACTACGCACCATGCTTGTGTGAGTGTCCCCCGGCAATAAAAAAGCTTAGGTATTAGGATACTCGGAAGGAAAGTCTTTTAAAAAACCTTGGACAGAACTTCATCCTCATTAAGCTGGTTTTACATCCACTAATTAAATAGTTTACAGCGAAGCTCTACTGCCTCCCAGTGTGTGAAGAAAGGATCGCATGTCTTGTTTCATTGCAGGACCCACATGCAAGACCTCCAGGAGGTAACCCAGGATCTGCACTACGAGAACTTCCGCTCGGAGAGGCTGAAGAGAGAGGGCAGGTGAGATGCTGGCTTTTGTATACATCTCTCTTCAACAGCACGTTGAGCCGCTCTGTGTCAAGCAAGGTTTTCTGACCTACACATCTGGGTTCTCTGCAGGGCTGTGGACGAGGACGAGCTGGACAAAGACCAGATCCTGCTGCAGAAAGAGGCAGAGGTAAGAACGCACACGCGGCTCCTCGTCTCACTTTGAACTAAAATGTGTCTCAGTTGATCCAGCAAGTGGATAGCTGTAAATACAGGTCTTTCAGATTCATATTAATATAATACTCACATGCCATAATGCAACTCTACTTTATTAGAAATTGGGGGACAAAATCAATAGTTCTTCCATATTTTCAGTGCAAAAAAAAGTCAAATTGTTGCTCATTTCGCTGTGTTTAGCACGAGGCAACAGCACCTAAAGGAGCATTCTAGTGCTTTTGCGTGCGTGTACAACTCGCATTACTGACAAAAAAAGAGTTTTTTCTTCTTTTTTTTTTTTTCCAGGGTCCGACTTGTTCAACTTAGCTAATGCATTTTCATGAAACACACATCCTGGTTATCGTTAAAGTTACAGAACTACACAGAAAGAATGCAGATATCTGCCATTTATTAGTCCCAGGAGAAAATATTGTTTTATGTGCAAAACCATAATTACAGTGAGTCTGATGGGTTTATCACTGGAATATTTCTTTTTGAAAACTTAAACAAATTCGTCAAAAGTATTTCCTCAGGTCAAATATGGCTGCAGGCTTTGGTAAATGACTGGCACAAGGTGTAATGAACTGTATCTCCATTTCAGTGTCAAAAACACTCAGACCTGATCAGTCAAACCACAGTAACCCATCATGGAGGGTAAATGCAGACTCACCCTGGCTGTGCAGAAAAACTGCTCCGTCATCTTTGTTGTACACATGGCATCGTAACACTCTACCATAACATTATGTTCCTACTGGCTGTCAATCCTTAAGTGTGACTAAATGTTAGAAAAAGAAAAAAAGGTCTAATTTATTATCCCGCTGCTATCTTCCATATGTATTGTTTACATTTTGGGAGCCTGCAAGTCCCCAAGCAATAACCTGTTTCCTGATTGCTGTTGATTGGCCTGTTTGTGTTGTTGCTGCGGTGCACCCATAGTGCACCGCAGTGAGCGAGCGGGCGGGGTCCAATCAGAGCTGTTTGTAAACAATGTGCCCAAGGGCAGGATATGCCATCACTTCCTGCCTGGATGTCCTGGCCCAGTTTTGTGGTGGGAATGACCTCAGTTCTGTGAGGAGACAGCGGCCCATTTGTTTACGTGTTGTCAGGGTTTGGACTGGGAGGACAGACTACTAGCTATTGTACTTGTATAATACCAACTTGTCCTGTAATACCCGGAAACCCGTTGAATCCATTTTCCCGTCTTTGAAAACACATGGTAAATGACAGAAAGATGTTTAAATGTCAATATACAAGTATTCCAAAATTCTTCTATTTTTCTGAGAATGAACTACTAATTTATTCACCAGAGCTCCCCAAAATAGATAACGTTGCCACATGAAAGGGCTGAAAGTTATGTTCAGGATCATATTTACGTTCAAACGGTAGTTTGTGGACCAGAATATTTTGAACAGGTTATTTTGTTGATTTGTTTGCGTTGTTCTATGATCAGTTTGTGAACATTTCTAAGCAAGTTACTATAAATGAAAAGGTTACTTTATTTTACAGGTTCCTAGTTTTTTTTATTTTTATAAAGGTTCCTTAAAAAAAACTGTATTTTGTCCTAATTACACTGTCCAAATATGACACTAATAATGTATTAATTGGGAGTGTCAGTTCACAGCAGGTACGCTGTCAAATTTGGCTCCATGTGTAAATGACAATTACAAGCAAACATACAGTTTAATAAATATCATAAATAAAGTTTCCAAGAGAGACTAAATATTCACTTAGGTTTGAATTGATCCCAATGTTTGCAGTCATTCAAATGTTAGTAGTTCAGTAAAAAAACAAACGCACAGTCTGACTATTAAGAACTTACAGGAGCCTTAAAATAAGGCGTCACCCATCAACCGTTCCCTGGAAGTAATCAAATCAGATTTTGTCAATCCTGGATTTAATATGAAAAAACATAATGAATCTATGTTCAAGTTCAAAGTAATATTCCATTTAAGTCGTCGTTGATCTTGTCACCTGGACTATGCGCTCACATTTCATGTTTTTCAGTCAACCTTTCACCTTAAATTTCAAAACAGCGGTAGAACAGCTGCGACTTGAGACCCGTTAGTCTTCAGGTGCACATGACTCTGTACTACATATCCAGAATAAATTCACACATCCATGATATTCCAATCACAACCGGTGGAAAGAGAAAAGGCTACGTACTGTGGTTGTAATTTGGAGTACTATTCTGAGCCACAAGATGGTGACAGACGTTAAAGAAAGCTCCAGGAGAGTTTATTGATTGACAGTGTGACTATTGATGGCTTTAAAAGCTTTACATCCTCATTAGCCACGTTATAACATCATTCACCCATTGTTGCCTTCTCGTTAACATCTGTTTACATTCCAACAATTATTAATTTATTGTTTGACAATGATTTTATACTTTTATACATTTTTAAACACTTTCATCACAACCGCTGATATAAATATAGATTATATAATATTATTACGTATTAAAATATATTGACTGTCTCTTCATTTGATTGAGTGATGACTATCTGTCTATCATTTATTTACAGTAATGTAGCAGGTTATCTTGCAATAGCAAATAAATTCTCATGGTATAACACTTTAACACTACTTCAAGTGGACGTCCTCAGGGATGCTTTTTCATTTTGGTGATGTCTTCTCATGCAAAGTGATAATCGTCTCGTTGCTTTTGCATCAATCAGTCAGCGTGTGTTTCTATTCTGAAGTTTGTCTCTTTATAGATTGCACTTCCTGTCTTGTTCAGTCATTGTGGTTGAAAGACATGTTGTAAAACGTTCAAGCTTTCTGACCCTTTAAGAACACAAACATCTGATTGGTCGAACCAGAAAGTGTAAATTCATATTAACCATAACTGTTATTGGTGTAAAAAGCAGTTGGTGAAATATTTTTCTTTTACAAAAACCACATTAGATGATATGAAAAACGTATTGTCACAAAGCTGATGCTGTTTTTCTCAGCTCATGGGAAGTTGACATTTTTGTGGTTTTAACACGGACAGCGACGTTATGGTAATGAAGCGGATCATAAGAGCAGAGCAGAGACACATTTGCTGTTTTAAGCTTTCAGTTTGACTTTAAAATACACATTAGGTCACATTAGTGTGTAGAAGTTTAGGGGGTCTATTGTCAGAAATGTAATATAAAATTAATATGTTATAAAATTAATATATAAATTAATATTAGTGTGTTTTATATATATATATATATGTATATATATGTATATTATTTAAGTATTTTTGATACAAGCATATCTGAAAACATTTTATATGTTTTCAGACATATCAATCAACTAAGCGAGGACACAAAACTTAACTTTTTCTTTTTCTTCTCTCTGTAGCTGAGACGCATGCAGCAGATGATCGCTCAGATGCAGGCACAGATGAAGAGGAAATCGGACGAGTGAAAGAGCCGCAGCGGAAGGGAAACGCCGTGATCCCAACCCCCCCAACACACACACACACGGACACATATATGTATTCACACGCACACACCTGGTCCTCCTCTGAATCCATCCCTGCAGATCCACCAGGAGTCCAGATATCCAGGATCACATCAACTTTATCTGCACACCACCACCTCTTCTTCTTCTTCTTCTTCTTCTTCTTCTTCTTCTTCTTCTTCCCTCCAAACATCCATCCATCAGCTCTTCAGGAGAAACATCTTGTCAAGACTCCTCTTACAATCCACATCTAGACCTCGCTCATTATCCCGTCTTGTACTGTATGTACCAGTTTTAGTCTTTGATCTTTAGTATGACTATACAGAGGTTGTGCCACCATACTATCATGTTTACAAATAAATATATATATATATATATATATATATATGAATTATGCATTTTCCATTAATTTTGCCATCGGGTTAAGATTGTTTTAACATATTTTAACATAAAAATAGTTTGCTTCTCATGTTTTTTTATTAGCTCACGAGTGATTCGGTGGCCCATCTCCGTTACCTCTGGATGGTTTCACACCTTCGGGGCTTCAGTGTGATGATGCAATAACTATAAATATTACCACAGTGAACTCTTAAGTGTGCTTACGAATGAGGTGTAAGCTGTCCATGCAGAGAACGAGTAATGCTGTTTGTTCTTAATCGTGTTAAAACTAGAAACCTTATTTTGTAGCCAACACTACAAACTTTAATTCTAGGTGGTAGTATTCAAACTAATACCACTTTGTTTTAAAGGGAAACAACAATCTTTAAGATTTAGTATCATGGTTTAGTTGACTATGAAGGGCCATTTTGTTAATATATATTTTTTGTATTTATCATCAAGAGCTGCGCAATCTTTAATGTCAGTGCCAAACTACAACTACAGACTGAAAACTAATCCCACTGTTCAGTCCAGGGACTTAATGTGTCCATATTTGCTTCAGTGGTGTCATTTAATGTGTAAAATGTTCTGTTTGTACACGACATGTGCCGCTTTTCATCGTAATGTATTCAGGCCCATTTAAAAGTCAAATAGTGAAACATGTAACTGTTATATGGGTAAATGCCCTGCAGAGCCTTCAAACATCGATGTGTTGTTGACATTATTTCGTTTTTCTGTCTGTTGTACGCAAATCTGTCTGTTGAACTTATTAAGACACACATTATTATTAGTATTATTTCTTAACCATGTTTCAGTAGAGACTTGTTTTTAGGCGTAAACATTTTTTTTTTTTGTATTTCTCTCCAAAATAAAATGTCTTTTAAAACAAAAAGAGAGTTGACATGTGTGACTTTTGAATGACATGACATGTTTAGCAGTTATTAGTTGACAGTAGAAAGTCTTCTGACCTTTATATAATCCTCGCTGATATGTGTCTTGTTTTCTTCAGTTCTTTTGTTTCTAGTGTTTTTGACTTGACACATTTTAGAAAAATGGTGCAGTACGTTTTATCATCTAATTATTTATATGTATGTCTAAAGATTTTTTTTTTTTTTATTGCTGATGCTAAGACCCAGTGTGAACTCGTAATTGAGTGAAACAGTTAAAGGAACCTGAGCTTCAACTCGACTTCATGCTTGTACTTAGATAGATAGATACTTTATTCTTCCCACAAGGGGAACTTTGTTCGCTACAGCAACAAAAATATATTTAAGCAATCAAAGTAAGAGTAAAGAAAATATATATATATATATATAGTATAAAAATACACAATATAAACAATAAAAATAAAAGAGTAAAAAATTGGAATATAAAAAAGCACAATATACAATGAAATAGAATAATATTAATTAACTAACTAAACAGTAGTGTAAAGATTAACCAAACAACAGTGTGGCGGTGTTATAGTCTTGTGAATGATTTGGTTCGAGGTGATTTATTGTAGATTCTTATTGCAGTGGGCAGGAATGTTCTCAAGTAGAGAGGTTCAAGATGTTTTACTTTAATTCATCTCGAGGAGTTGTGGGCCTTAGTCAGCTAAATATAATCAACATTAGTTCATTTGGTAGGTTATAGCAGTCTTCTTCGGGATGTTATAAAGTCAAATAGAAACCCTCGGATAAAGGGAGGCCAAGTGTTGAAGCTGTAGGTTTATCAGGCAGAACCTGATGTTGTCCATGGCTGGTCCAATGATTTGTAGAATGTTCACCTTTGATTGCTTGTAAAATATCTCATTGGTATTAATATTGGGGGACAGATTGTCAAGTATTTATTTCTAAAACAAATGAACACTGCGACTCTTTATGCTGAGTTTCCAAAAAACTAAAATCTCTGACTAGAAACCGGAGAGAAGTGATATGTACACAATGTGTAGAATTAGATGGATGTCAGTGAGGTTGGTCTGGACCCTAAACCCTCCTCGTGGCATCTTGTGCGTTCACTCTGCTTGTAGGGAAACTCTGCAGCGTGATTGGCTGAGTCTGTGTGGAGGAGGAGGAGGAGGAACTTTCATCCGTCATCTTCGGCCCGCCCTCCTGCTGTCCGTCCGGGGCTTTGGAGGCGAGGCGAGGGGGCCGCTTTCTCAGAGCCGTCGCTTCGGTGAAATCGAGGGAGGAGAGCAGACAACATGACGGCCAACATCCGGTACAAGAGCCGCATCCCGGTTAAAACAGGTGAGCGTTTATGTTTTTTAATTTAATTTAATTTACAGCAGTGTGTTTTATTGAGAATCAACGCGGTGACTGACATCTTCATGTTTCTGTCTCCCTGGGCGTCGCTCCGCATCCCTGCACCTGCGCCTCCTCCTCATCCATCCTGTAACGGCCAATAGAGGATGGCACAGAGGTTAGTGACATCCTTTTTTATGTATTTATTTAAGCGCTGGTGATAATTCATTTCCCCCCCATATGGTGCGTTGTCACAATACAGCCTCGCGCTGAACGGCCTCGGTTTCAGACAGCAGCATCGGCAATATTTACGTTTCGGATCACAAATTTTTTTTTTTCATGCGTTTATAAAACGCATGAAAAAAAAAAATGCTCCGAGGGCATCCATGCCATCACAGGCTGATCTGGGATCAACAGACGGACAGGCGGTGGAGTGTGTGTGTGTGTGTGTGTGTGTGTGTGTGTGTGTGGGGGGGGGGGGGGGGTATTCATTTTTAGACTCATATGTGGAGCAGGCCGGCGTCCAGGCGAGCAGCCAACATGGTACCCAAAAGGCAGCATCCCTTCCTCTCCTCTCCTCCTCTCCTCTCCTCGCCTTGCCAGAATCATCGGCGAGTATCGGTCATTCAGTCGACCGATTGGACCGGCCTAATTATCAACGTTACATCCGCACGACTCGTGATTACAGTCGCTGTCTTTAGTGAAACCCTTTCCTAGCCATTGTTCAGCTCAGAAACACAGCTGCCACACGAGCCTGCAAGGGGGAGGTCGCATCTCTGATGACCCCCCCCAGGTCTTCCTCATCCTCCCCCCTCTTCCTCTTTGCATATAGTGGCTGATGACAGCATTTGCATGTGCTGAGTGTGCATGGGTGATTCATGGAACCTGACTGTTGATGGATTAAAAATAGTATCCATCAGTGAAGCACCAAAAGAGAGCTAGAGATAGAAAAGAGGAAAAGTGACAACCTTAAAGCTGGAAATAATGCATAGGTGTCACAGCCAAATACTCAACTACAACACATGAACACATCTTTAATATGTCAATCGGCTACTGCGTAACAATTTATCCTCTAGCTGCCAGTATTCCTTTGTGGAGGTCATAATGTCCATGTTTGCGCTTTTTGTCGAAAACAGTTTTAGTGCTGTTAAGTGTATTCTTGTTGACATAAAAGCATAGACTAAATATTAGAGACACCTCTCAGCAAAAAATACTCCGTCATTTGTCAAATTCCTGCATTCGTAATGACACTTATGTGAAAATAATATTAATGAAATGTACTTTAAGTATCAAAAGTAAAAGTACTTACAATGCAGAATCAAACCTTTATTACGTGATATTATTTTTACATTTTTAAAGCTTTTTGTGACCCTTTTTTAAATATAACATACAGCAGAGAAATGACCAGAAATAAAAGAGAGAACATGCAACATGGACTCGAACTGGGGACACTGAAATTACATGGTGAACCTTAATCCTTTAGGTGACCAGGCCTTCAGAGAGATTTATATTATTATCATAAAATTGTGAATTATATCAACAAAGTAAGTCGTAACAATAGCTGTAAAATACACGTAGTAGTAGAGGTACAAAGTGGCAGAAAATACATTACATTACATTACAGTCATTTAGCAGACGCTTTTATCCAAAGCGACTTACAATTCAGATTCTATCACATTTCTACACTGTAGGCACAGCTACGGGAGCAATTTTGGGGTTAAGTGATGCTCAAGGACACTTCGACATGCGACAGAGCCAGAGCCGGGGATCGAACCTTGAAGGATGTCCCTGCTATCCCCTTAGCCACAGTCGCCCCATCCCCAATACCAAATATAATTAATTCTATTCAAGTACAGTACAAATACCTGAAAATTGTACTTGCATATTTGGGTAAATGTACATAGGCCCACTGGTGGTATTGTACAAAAGTGTCTGCTAAACGACTGTGATGTAATGTGTTGTAAGGTGATTCTCAGAGGAATTGTTCTATACGGAGATCTGCTTGTAAATGACGAACACTTTTAACAATTTGGTCCCTAACTCTTGCACATTTGTTTCTTCACTCTGTACTATTCAGCATTTTCTCGGGCAACAGAAATGCTTCCCATCATCATATTTGTCCTGTATTCTGCCTCCTGGTTGCCCTCTGTCCTCCCTGCTGGCAGATAGAAGCTGGTCAGGTCAGACAGATTTGCCTTCACCAAAGCCAATAGCTGAAATTATTGCGATCACGTGGTGTCACCACCAACGCAACACACACACGTGCTCACACACACACACACACACACACACACACACACACACACACACACAAGCTTATGAGTGAATTGCTAGAAAACCTGGATTAATATGATTCTTGCAGAGTGATGTGCTTTATAGAGAAGAGCGTAGATCTCCGCTGTGTGTGTCTGCAACTTCCACTTTTTTAATGTTTGATTGTGTGAATCCAAACCACGATCGCCTGCAGTCTAGACCGCAAGCATATCAGATCTTACACATCTCGCTCAACAGATACGGTTTTGTACTGTATATGTGACTGCCTGCACCGCGTCCGTGGAGCTAAACTAGAGTTCACTGTGTGACGCTTCATGTTGACTGTTTAACACATCCTCTGAACAGAAACTGTCAGTCCTGCTGTGTTGCTGCCCGCCGGCCGCTGACAGCTAACTAGCTCTCTCCTCCTACCGTCATGAGAAGACGCGCTCCGTTGCAAACAGCACTCAGTTCAGTTTGTCATTTGCTAAGCCATCATTATACATACAATTGTCCCACCTTAACATGCAAATCCAGAGAGGAACAATTTGCAATCCGTAGCGGAAACAAGAGTCCAAACGGATGCAGTGGTTGGTCACTTGTGGCCCCCACCAGCCGGTTAAGATTAGTGAGGAGTCACTCAATGAAATATATATCTTTTAACTGTGACTCGCTCTTACCACGAGACGTCCTTGAGCATACAGTCATAGATGAGCACCGGAAATATAAGGCTGATGGATCCAGTAGTATGTGAGATTAGCCGTGGACAGACAGACAGATGCACACACATAATGGCTGAACACATAATCTCCTCAGGCTTCGCCTGGCGGAGATAACAACCTCAAATTACAATCAATCTGTCATAAATCCACTCCTAAATGTGTAGTGATTCACTCATGCTCAGTTTTTAGATTACTACAGTTTTTTTTTACACCTTGCGAGTTTTGCCACTTGGCTTTCAGCCGCTCTTCACTCCCACATACTGCATCTGACCTGCATATCGCTGGATAATCCAGGCTGCGGAGGAGGACTAAAAGAAAACTAATAGTGCTCCGTGAATGCTGAGATCATAACCACTGAAAGATAATCAATCCTAAATCAATATTTTTACAACGAACCCCCCCCCTACTCCTCTTCCTCCTTCCATGTCACTCTCCCTCACATCGCCCTAAACGTTCCCCGTCGCTTCCTTTGCTGTGATATTACGTTGCCAGGCAACAGATTTATTTTTAAATCCGTTTACATCATTTCTCTGATGGTGAGAGGATGACACCATCTGACCTACCCACAATCCCGTGCTGTGATTATTCCGCGTGTGGGTGGATATTCGCTGAACAGTTGTTGTTTTTTCCTCACAGATCAGAAACAGAAGAGAGAAAAAACAACCATGTCAGTTTTATTATCAACAGTTAGCTGAGATGTGTCACCCTGATGTAGTG